CTTGATCAGTCACTCATTGGAATTCTGCTGGTAATTCTCTTCTAATTTAGCTAATTATGAATTAATTATGTGAGACAAACTGGTTTTTTTCCAAGTCATTAGAACACCTCTACTTTCTATTCATATAAGTATTAGCATTTTCATTTTCATAGATGAAAATAAGGGAATCCATCTTTAAGAACCAAATAAGTTTAATGCAATTGAAGACAAGGAAAATGGGTAAAAATAGAAATCAGTGAATTCCAGTCCCTATGAATATCTTTATGAGAACAGACCCAAATACGATTCCCACGAAATTAAATGATCTCACAGGTGATCCTTATCGTTATAAAGAGTTCTGATTTTAAGAATGTTTAAGTGTTGATTGATTGGTTGACACCATATTCCTTTTAAAGAGATACTACCTCTCAGAATCGATATAAAATTCAAAATCTCAAACTTAGTCAACAAGTATATATTCATCAGTTAGTACCATGACTAAACAACAGAATCTCTATATAAGATGATATATCCATTTAACTAAATAATTATTGAAACACGCGTCTAAGCATTTACATGTAAGTCCACTGATGAACAAAAACTTTCAATTTTTTGGTCATCCTTAAAGGTATTATACCATTAATCATACATTGAAATGTGTGCAAAAATTTATCTGATCATTTCAGGGCACGAAGATAAAGATACAATAATTGCCTTATCAGTTTGTAACACTATCTTGATGGGAATTTTGATCTTCCTCGGTGTACTTGTTTTCATCAAATACAGAAAATATAAAGGTAAATGGTTTCTCATGTTCTTAATATTATTTATCACACAACAGTTCTGTTTTCATGTTCATAACACAGGTTCTTAAAAACGATATGAACTCGTAGCACAGGTTAATAACTATACAAATTATGTCATTTTTTCATGTTCCCAGAATACAGAGGAACATGGCATCCCAAGGGCATGAAAATGTTCCAAATAATGTAACTTATAGTTATAAGTTTCAATTTAGTTATCACATGAACGTGTTTATGTAGTTTGTAACGCGCAAGGACATTTTTCAGAAAGGTGCAAAAATGTGGACCTCAAAATGAAGTATGTGCGTTTAATGACAGTTGTGTGATAAATAGAATCTTTCACTCGTGCTTATGTAATATGAAATTTAGGAAATGAGTTGCCGGATTAAATATTTACCTTACCTGACTCGGGAAATATTAAATCTGGCAACTCATTTCCTAAATTTCATATTACATAAGCGCTAGTTTAAGATCCTCTATATATATATCTTAGCTTTAAAAAATGTAAACTTGCTTACTGGGCTTTAGTGATCTAATTAGTAAAGCTGAAACGGATCAATTTGTTTGTGTATGAAGACAGTGGTGAATTTCTTTGGATTTTTATTATTCAATTATTTAAATCTTTTATTGTTTCTCCTTCAGATGCCGACAACCAGTGAGTATAAACATCTTCAAACGAACCACATAAAGGTTCATTCACATAATAAAAATCCGTACAAGCAAGACAATTCCGTCAATAAAAAATCTCGTCCAAAGAATGACAAAATCGGAAGTAAAAGTTGTATACATGTAGTAGATAATTCTGGACGCACATGGATTTGAAGGCTCAAATATCGACTGTGAGCTGTGAACATTTTTACTGATTGGCTAAGCTAAAACAATTCCAAATAGAATGACCAACCTGTCCCTTTAAAATACAAACTGGATTGACTATGCCACCCATGATCTGACGAAATTGTTATGCATGTCTGATCTGCTTTAGATTTGAAGAATGGAATATTCATTGTTACACATTGAATTGTTTTGACTAACAATTTTTAACAGTGTTTTTTATCTGATGCTATTGGTCGAAATTCCAAAGAATACAATTAGTCAAATAGGAAACTAGTCAGATTATATATGGCATGTGTATTAACTTCTACATTTCAAACAGGTTGAAAGTTATTGTGATTATATTTTTATTATAGTATATATGAAAGTACTGTACCAAAAGCAGCTCCTATCTATGAAGATTTAGGTTTGTATTGTCCTATCGATCACATATTGTTATTGTGATCACATTAGTGTGTGGTGCCAGTCAGGGTATGCTTACTTTTTTAGACACCTGATACCACATTTGTTGTTTTTTTGTTTTTTTGAAAACCTTACTCACATTTGATTGATATACTTTCTCATGTGAAATGTTCAATGTACTATTGTT